ACTAACAACATAATTATCACATATCACAATTATCACATGAATTCATCACCACAATCACGGATACTTTATCCATGCAATAATACACATAATTCAGTACAATTTTCCTTAATATAAAATACTGAAAAATATCGATATGGTGTCTTTACGGTTTAGTGTTTCGATGTGCGGTGCACCTGCTACTTTCTTCTTGCACAGCAAACTTTCATGAAATCTTCATTTCTAATTCACGTGACGGAAGCTTAAATTAAGAGGGGCAACAATCGCAACTTTTCGTGACTGAAAGCTATATAATTAATCAAAAACATCATATTATGTATTATGTGATTTAAGCATAAATATGATTTAGCCATAAACATTCTATTTCACTACCCTGAATAAAATAAAAATAAAAATGTAGTCTTTAAATATACAGAAGATGTGTTTATTTAACATGGGCGTTCGTGTTTTACTTGAGAAGTCACAGTGGATATTGTGCATGTTTAATAAACAAATAATCAGCCTCATTTTTAAAGATGACATTGGCGACATCGAGATATTCTAAAACAACGTTACAGGGGAGATGATTTGTTTGTTGACTATATTAAACAAACTTTATTTGTAAAGCTTTATATAATTTGTACATATAGCCTATGGTATATAATTCTATAGTCTATTGCATGTTTGATAGATTTAAGATGTATAATGTAATAATAAACATGCACTGTGCACATGTACGAGCAAAGAATAGTTACATTTGGAGTTCTGTAAAAAAAAAAACATGATCGATAAGGAACTGTATAAAATTACAGCAGCTCATCTGGTCGGGAAATCCTGTATTTAACTTTCTAAACATCGTAAGTGGTCTGTGGAGTTTTACGGTCTTTAAATGTCCTTAGGCTTTAGTTTTTGTAAAGATACGCAGCAAACAGCCCACATTTAATGTGAACAAACAACCTCTTTTGTTAACGACAAGGGAAATCAAATGCAATCCTCTTTAAAAAATAATAAGCACAGGCTTTAATCGAAAACTTTTAAATAGCTTCTTACCCAAACTGCAAGGAAGTGATAAAATAGAAATCCTCTGGTGGCATTTTTTTTTTTTTAAAGATTTTTATTTGAAAGCATTTGCCATGCTCTCCATCTTTATTTTTTTATTTTTTTTAATAACAAACGTTTACGTAATTGATGACGAATAGTCGTTTAGAAATAACGTACCATATTTTGTCTTTTTACAATTTAATAAGATAAGTCTAAGCACCGAAATAGGCCTACAAGTCCAAATTAGGACAAACTAATCTGTTCGCGGAGCTCATAAAGAAATATGTAGAGGCATTAAAACAGTTCCAAAGGCTAATGATTTTATTATCATTCATTCAGACCTTACCTCATTTGAAATCACTGCAGGGAATTCTGCTTAACTTACACATTTTATAAACGCGATGACTAAAATGCAATGGCAAACTGAGTAGATGCATGTGTTTCCACACAGCCAGAGGCTTTCTGCCTAACTATTAGCATCATTTCAGTCCTTCAGTGACATTAATTGCGGGAGGCAGCAGAAGAAAGGCTGTTTAAGTGCTCTGTCACTTGCGTTGGACCTTTCACCTCATCACAGGCTGGAATGCGTCCTCAAGAGCGCCACTGTGCCACATGTACACCTGGAGATGCACCGTGCACACGCCTTTGCAGGATCAAATGAAGGGGATTAAACAAAGAAAAGTCATTTTCTGCTTTCTGATTTGGACCTCTCAGTCACAAATATTCAAAAACTGATTTATGATTTATGATTTAATGACGCACAGAAAATTAACCTCGGCTGTGATGACAAAAGTCATGGTTTACATATTTTTAAATATAAAAATGAACAAAAACACAAGAAACAAAAATAATAGAGTACTAATAATTCGTGAGAGTTTATTTCTTCTCGTCGTATTAAAACCGTTCTTTTTTTGTTTTGTTTTGGAAGGTCTGTTAAATTGCACACAATTTTACAGTTTATTTCTCATATCAAACACACCTAAAAAATGAAGTCCTTTCAGGTCTGCATGCGTTTAAAAATGTAGATAACCCGTGTGATTTATTAACCTCGTTACAGGAGCCGCGCGCCATGCGTTCCTGACCTTTCCAAATGTTTCATGACATTACGTGGAAATAATGCAACTGTTTCAGGACTTATTTGCGGTGGCGTTTTAAACATGCTTTATTTAGCATTTCCAGCGTTGTGACTGAATAAATAAAACATCACCTTTTCTGAATCTCAATTATTTTATCGTGCGTGCGTAATATGTAGATTACACAGCCAAATAAACATAGGGAATATTCGTTCGTTTACGAAAAAAAAAACGTTTTTAAGGTTTAATCCTCTTCCATATGAACTAATCTGAATATCAAAACGTGCGACGTTAAGACCTTATCAAACAGAAACAGATGATCAGATTTGAATGATCACGAAGGAATTCGAATAAACTCGATTCTAACCCGCTGCTGGGAAGCATCCAGTGAAACATGCGTTGTTTTGTGTTTTCGTCCAGATCATTTCTTAAACCATTTATTAAACTATAATAAACTAGCACATATTGATTGATTACCTGTGTATTTGTGAGCTTTCGTTTCGAACCTCTGCCTTTGACTCCTGCAGAAATCCAAGGCAATGAATGCAGGAAATGTACGAATATTCACTTTTTAGAAACTTTTTCCTTCGCTTTTTTAGTTGCACGTTGCTCTCTGCGGACTGTGGAGCTGGAAACACACGGCTGTGTTTTGTGCTTGTTGGCCATGCCCTCTGACTTCATATTCTGCAGGGTTAAAGGGTCCTCAATTTGCATACACATTTCTAGCCTCAAATTTTCAATATGTTACCTGATCTTGTAATAAAAACACCAAAACGCGTGTATAATTTACTAAACCATTTATGTGTTTTAAGAATAGGTTTATAACGTTTACAATTATTTCATACTTATCGAAAATAAATAGTTTAGGCTTTGTTTAGCTCAACGTTTTTTTTCTCGGTTGAATAAGAACACACTGAATTATAGTTCATTTCGATGGTTGGTGCCGTAATTTCAAACCAAATAAATGTCACATCCTTGTGATTTTAGCATAAACTAGCATCACAAGTGAAATGATACAACCCGAGCGTCCGATTCCTGCGCATCGCATGTCAAACCGAGCTCTCAAGTTCGTATAAAGAGAAATCTCCGATGTTTGGAGGAGAATTCAGGTTGTGAGCGCCACTTATCAAAATGCGAAAGCTATAGATTGATGTAAAAAAGCTGACGCCACTTGGAAGCTCAAAATGATACAAATTTGCGAGCGGAGCCGTTCTGATGGCATTCTTTGCGTATCTTTTGCTCCGTGAGTATTTATGAAGTCCTTTCAGGTCTGCATGCGTTTAAAAATGTAGATAACCCGTGTGATTTATTAACCTCGTTACAGGAGCCGCGCGCCATGCGTTCCTGACCTTTCCAAATGTTTCATGACATTACGTGGAAATAATGCAACTGTTTCAGGACTTATTTGCGGTGGCGTTTTAAACATGCTTTATTTAGCATTTCCAGCGTTGTGACTGAATAAATAAAACATCACCTTTTCTGAATCTCAATTATTTTATCGTGCGTGCGTAATATGTAGATTACACAGCCAAATAAACATAGGGAATATTCGTTCGTTTACGAAAAAAAAAACGTTTTTAAGGTTTAATCCTCTTCCATATGAACTAATCTGAATATCAAAACGTGCGACGTTAAGACCTTATCAAACAGATGATCAGATTTGAATGATCAGGAAGGAATTCGAATAAACTCGATTCTAACCCGCTGCTGGGAAGCACCCAGTGAAACATGCGTTGTTTTGTGTTTTCGTCCAGATCATTTCTTAAACCATTTATTAAACTATAATAAACTAGCACATATTGATTGATTACCTGTGTATTTGTGAGCTTTCGTTTCGAACCTCTGCCTTTGACTCCTGCAGAAATCCAAGGCAATGAATGCAGGAAATGTACGAATATTCACTTTTTAGAAACTTTTTCCTTCGCTTTTTTAGTTGCACGTTGCTCTCTGCGGACTGTGGAGCTGGAAACACACGGCTGTGTTTTGTGCTTGTTGGCCATGCCCTCTGACTTCATATTCTGCAGGGTTAAAGGGTCCTCAATTTGCATACACATTTCTAGCCTCAAATTTTCAATATGTTACCTGATCTTGTAATAAAAACACCAAAACGCGTGTATAATTTACTAAACCATTTATGTGTTTTAAGAATAGGTTTATAACGTTTACAATTATTTCATACTTATCGAAAATAAATAGTTTAGGCTTTGTTTAGCTCAACGTTTTTTTTCTCGGTTGAATAAGAACACACTGAATTATAGTTCATTTCGATGGTTGGTGCCGTAATTTCAAACCAAATAAATGTCACATCCTTGTGATTTTAGCATAAACTAGCATCACAAGTGAAATGATACAACCCGAGCGTCCGATTCCTGCGCATCGCATGTCAAACCGAGCTCTCAAGTTCGTATAAAGAGAAATCTCCGATGTTTGGAGGAGAATTCAGGTTGTGAGCGCCACTTATCAAAATGCGAAAGCTATAGATTGATGTAAAAAAGCTGACGCCACTTGGAAGCTCAAAATGATACAAATTTGCGAGCGGAGCCGTTCTGATGGCATTCTTTGCGTATCTTTTGCTCCGTGAGTATTTTCTTCAATTACTGGGATGTCGATGGCTCGTCGCTCCGCCCCCCGTGTTTGTCGTAAACCCGCAGTCTGACGGGAATAAGGCAGAAATAAGAGCGTCCAGGACTCGCCTCTTTCTCCAGGACGCACATTCGGACTTCAGAGAACGCGGTTACGCACGGCGGACACGTCGCGCGCACATCCACGGGCTTGTGGCAGCTTCAGCAAACTCGCTCGCGGGCTGAACCATGTCCTTCAGCCCCAAACATTCAACGCCTTTCTCAGTGAGCGATATTTTGAGCCCGATCGAGGAGAATCAAGATCTGGTTCCAGAATCACAGGTATAAAATGAAACGCCAGGCGAAGGATAAAGCGTCGCAGCCGCAGCAGGACAGCGGAAACCTGTGCGCTCAGCAGTCGCCGCGGCGCGTGGCTGTGCCGGTGCTGGTTAAGGACGGTAAACCGTGTCAGAACGGCTCCAGCACGCCGACGTCGGTCCATCAGCAGGTGCAGAGCGTGCTGGGCAGCGAGACTTTAGCTTCAGCAGAGGATCTGGAGGAGATGTCGCCCAGTCCTCCTCTGATGAACGGCCTCTCTCAGACTGACGCCGCGCTCATCGAGTACACGAGCGGCATGGTGAGCTCCAACCTGCTGTACGGCAGAACGTGGTGAGATTTCAGCCAGCGGTCATTTTTACCACACCTACGGGAACGATAATTGAATTTAAGACTTTTTTTTTTTTTAAAAACAGCACTCGTCTGATGCAGCGGTCCGCGGACCCTCACGTGAATTGTATGGATTGTAACTTTAAATCATTATTGAATGAAAATCTCTCCTGCGGATGAGGAGGAGGAGTGTGTGATGAAGACTAGTCTAGCGTGATGCCATTAATCCGACATCAGTTTTGTTGCTTTGTAAAATACAAGCTGTAGATGAAGACATGTTTTGTGTACATATCTAACACTGGACAAAGAATGCTTTCTTGAAGTCTTTTGTAAGTTTAAAAGGAAACTAAATAAATATGAGTGCTGCAAATATGAAAGAACCACTTGAATTCAGTATTAAATCATTTTTGTTCCTCATAAAGTTTGATAGAGCAAACCGAGCAGCAATTATTATGCATTAAAGGTCTAAAAATACTAGCTTAAAAGAGAGAGAGATAAAGCATTATTTATAGTAATTATAAATTAGACCAAGGAAATCTAAAAGGTTAGGCTGAATATACGCTAAGAGTTTTTTTTCCACGACGTTGCAAATAAAAAAAAAAACAATTTCAACTTCAAAATTGCACGTTTAATTCAGTGTTAAGTAACGTTTCTTGGTAATTAATTGTGAAATGTTCTGGCATTTCTGAGTGAAATTTCACTGAATTTAATTGTGTAAAACGCTTGCTAAAGAGCTTATCGGAGGCGATTTAGATAAAATTAGGACAAACACCGATATTTTTTCGTACTTTTATTTGCTATAAATGTTAAATATATATAGCAAATGAAATGCATTTCCTTATGAAACAATAAGAACGAATTAGTTTGTTTCCCAAATTATTACACATGTTAAATGCGTGTATATTGACCCTTTTTTTTTGCATTGGTCGAATTTACTTTGATTTTAACGAAAAAAATTAAATATTCTAATAGGTCAAAAATAAAAGGAAAGCTTTTTTAAAATAGCAGATTTACTCGTGTTGGTCATTTTCATGCATTCCAATCAACTATGTATTATTATGGTTTAATCCATTAATTAATTCAAGACTCATTTTAAACAGACTCTCAATTTCCACCTGCATCTGTAATTGCCAAGAAAAAAGCTATGAATATTCATTTAAAGATTAAAATACAACTCTGCTCACCACAGCTATGCATTGGGAGTTTATAAACAGATGCAGAACGTGCTGGGCAGCGAGACTTTAGCTTCAGCAGAGGATCTGGAGGAGATGTCGCCCAGTCCTCCTCTGATGAACGGCCTCTCTCAGACTGACGCCGCGCTCATCGAGTACACGAGCGGCATGGTGAGCTCCAACCTGCTGTACGGCAGAACGTGGTGAGATTTCAGCCAGCGGTCATTTTTACCACACCTACGGGAACGATAATTGAATTTAAGACTTTTTTTTTTTTTAAAAACAGCACTCGTCTGATGCAGCGGTCCGCGGACCCTCACGTGAATTGTATGGATTGTAACTTTAAATCATTATTGAATGAAAATCTCTCCTGCGGATGAGGAGGAGGAGTGTGTGATGAAGACTAGTCTAGCGTGATGCCATTAATCCGACATCAGTTTTGTTGCTTTGTAAAATACAAGCTGTAGATGAAATGTTTTGTGTACATATCTAACACTGGACAAAGAATGCTTTCTTGAAGTCTTTTGTAAGTTTAAAAGGAAACTAAATAAATATGAGTGCTGCAAATATGAAAGAACCACTTGAATTCAGTATTAAATCATTTTTGTTCCTCATAAAGTTTGATAGAGCAAACCGAGCAGCAATTATTATGCATTAAAGGTCTAAAAATACTAGCTTAAAAGAGAGAGAGATAAAGCATTATTTATAGTAATTATAAATTAGACCAAGGAAATCTAAAAGGTTAGGCTGAATATACGCTAAGAGTTTTTTTTCCACGACGTTGCAAATAAAAAAAAAAACAATTTCAACTTCAAAATTGCACGTTTAATTCAGTGTTAAGTAACGTTTCTTGGTAATTAATTGTGAAATGTTCTGGCATTTCTGAGTGAAATTTCACTGAATTTAATTGTGTAAAACGCTTGCTAAAGAGCTTATCGGAGGCGATTTAGATAAAATTAGGACAAACACCGATATTTTTTCGTACTTTTATTTGCTATAAATGTTAAATATATATAGCAAATGAAATGCATTTCCTTATGAAACAATAAGAACGAATTAGTTTGTTTCCCAAATTATTACACATGTTAAATGCGTGTATATTGACCCTTTTTTTTTGCATTGGTCGAATTTACTTTGATTTTAACGAAAAAAATTAAATATTCTAATAGGTCAAAAATAAAAGGAAAGCTTTTTTAAAATAGCAGATTTACTCGTGTTGGTCATTTTCATGCATTCCAATCAACTATGTATTATTATGGTTTAATCCATTAATTAATTCAAGACTCATTTTAAACAGACTCTCAATTTCCACCTGCATCTGTAATTGCCAAGAAAAAAGCTATGAATATTCATTTAAAGATTAAAATACAACTCTGCTCACCACAGCTATGCATTGGGAGTTTATAAACAGATCTGCGTTAAAATAAATGATTAAAATTGAAATCCAATGAATTTTTAATAAAACACAAACACAAAGAAAATAGCTAAACTCAGCAGTCTTGTCTCTTATGTGTATTTCATAAGTTTCACAGGCATATTCTTAAAAATCGGTACATAAGAACATGTTGTCAGTAAAACAAGAAACAAAAACAAAAAAAAAAACTTTACAAATCAACCGCCCAAAAAAGACAATGTTTACTTGGAAAAAAAATAAGAAGCCTTCTTTCATATAAGGCTGAGAGTTCAGTTCCAGTTGTAGCGTTGTGAGGGTGGAGGTAACCCATAACCCTGTCCAAACCCCTGAAAGACAAGCAGAGCTTTCCATGAGCATGAGGTTTTATGCCTGTGTGTTTTCACTGAAATTATCAGGAGGCGGTCAGACCTGCTGATGTCCTCCCCCGCGGCTGTCCTGCTGGTTGTGAGGGGGTCTCCATCCTCCTCGTCCTCTCTCCTGGTTCTGCTGGTACGCGGTGCTCTGGGACTGCATGGCCCGATCCCAACCGTGAGCTCCATGCTGGAATCTGTGGAGATCAGAGCAAACTCGTCAGCAAACACAATGGTCACACAGAAGAGAAAAAAAGTCTTCAGGAAGCTTCAGAAAAATCACAAACTGAGCAAGCAGCTAAAAAAAAAAAAAAAAAAAAAAAAAAAAAAAAAAAAAAAAAAAAAAAAAAAAAAAGCACAATTCCTATTGATTAAAATATTTCCAGAGCACATCTAGAAAAATACATATTAAACTACATAAAAGAAATTTCCACTTTTTTTTGCCAGACATTCCATGAATTAATGATTAATTTCCAGTCATTTGTGAGTAATGGATAATGTTAAAATAAGTAAATAAATAAACCAAAATATATCCTTTATACAAAATATCTTTAAATTCTTTTATTATATTTTTTCTAAATTTATTTAGCAAGGATGCATTAAATTGATCAAAACTGACAGCAAAGACATTTACAATGTTACAAAAGGTTTCCAATTTCGAATAAATGTTTTTCATTTGAAATTTCTATTCAAAGAATCCTAAGAAAAAAAATATATCATGGCTTTCACAAAAATATGAAGCAGCACAGCTGTTGATAATAAGAAATGTTTCTTGAGCAGCAAATCAGCATATTAGAATGATTTCTGAAGGATCATGTGACACTGAAGACTGGAGTAATGATGCTGAAAATTCAGCTTTACATCACAGGAATAAATGCCATTTTACAATATATACAAATAGATGACAGTTATTTGGAATGTAATAATATTTCACTGTTTTTTGATCAAATAAATGCAGCCTTGTTGAGCTGGAGAGACTTCTTTCAAAAACGTAAAAAAATTAAATCTCACCGACCTAAAACTTGTATATTTAGCTAAAAATATTTCCACAATTTATAAACCTTCATGATTTATTCGAGGCTTGGATGATCACTTTCACCATTCCCTGATATTTTCTGGTTTTCAAAGACCACAGCAACCCTAATCTTTCATTAGAAACCACAAAGATCTCAAATCCAGCAGTACAAATAATGAGATTTCAGCTGAAGTGGCTTTGAAATGCAAAGGCCAGCTCATTCTTTGATTCCCACTTCACTCGTCGCCATCAAAACTAGTCTAACGTCTCCCGAATGCTACAAAAAACACGGCTGTAACCTGGGTACGACCGTAAACCAGCTCACCTACCAACGCCTCCCAAAATCTACGGTTCTCTACAGAAGGGAGGCGGACATCAGCATCCCTCATTACTGACGCAGCTCACAATCTTCCTGAGGAATCCATAATCCCTCCTCCAGGTTCCTTGTGCATTTCATTCGGCTCCGTCCCGAACGGTTAAAGAAACTCTGCTGCTCTAATAACTACTGACCTAAGGTGACACAGGGCCACAATGGGCTGCCGGGCCTAAAAAGCTGAACCAAAAGAAGCTGATTAGTCCCTGAAGTGGTCTGGAGCCAGAATCAATGGCGGCTCTGTGCGGCCCCCAGTGGCCCCTGTGCACAAGAGACGGTGAAGCGCAACCGCATTAGTGCTGCCTCATTAAGCCCTGCAAACCTCTTTAGGAGAACATCTGTTTAGCGCGCAGAGAAAATAATTCAGTCCGGCCCCCCCAGGAAGAACATCAATAACTCGTATCCTACACAGGAAGACCACTAACACCGGGAGAGGAAAGGTAACTGGAGTTTGTTTGGTCATTTCAGGGCTGGACCAAACAATTATTTTGATAATTGATTAATCTAATGATTATTAGAACAATTAATCACTGATTATTTGACAGATGAATCAGTAGGTTTTGACTGATTATTCCAGGGTAGGGCTGCACGATATTGGAAAAAACTCACATTGCGATATTTTATTTTTCTGCAATATATATTACGATATGAAAAGAAAAACACTACATGACTTGAATGGTTTATTTGGAAAAAAAAAAAAAATCAATGATTGGGGTGATTTTGTAGGGGAGTAAATCAGAATAGGAAATAAACAAGTTACAAGCATAGTTAACAGAACAACGATACAAATTAAATAAGCAGTGCTTTATATTTTTCAGGTAAGTATAACAGTATTCAGTACAGAAATTGAATAATCAAATGTAAAATAACACTGCATAGTCTTCACTGAATAAATTAAATCTAATAAATCTGTGTTAAAGCTACAGAAGTGATTTTTCTTTGTTTTGTTTGATTAACATTCATAACACAAAGCCTCAGGAACATTAAACTGCAGTAAACCAATATACTGTTATACATCCATTTTCTTTCTCAATTGTTTCCCTTCACCTAAGCATCTGTGTTTACAAGGATACTTGGAGAGCACAGTATTTCAGGCACAAATAGATGCAGAAGTGAACAGAAATTAGTGTTCACGTGCATCTGCGGGGCTCTCACAGTGGCTTCACCGGACGCGAGCGGCGCGGTGCGACATGACAAAATACAATGAACCCATAATAATCAGTGATGCTGTCTGTCTACACTGGATGCGGCGCGGCACGA